AAAAATTAAATTATAGAATTTAATTATGAGATTTATAATAAAGAGCTTCTTGAAAATATAGACTCTTTTCAAGAATGGCATCACTTGCTGAAAGGTACTATACATCTTGTGATTGTATATACAAATTACAAAAATTTGGAATATTTCATGTCAGCTTAGGTAAAACAGGACCAGATTATCTCAAAAATCAAAGATCCTTCTATTCTATAGTAACATAAAATTTCATCACAAAATAAGACAAAACAGACTAGAACAGAATTGAATAGAATTGCATAGAATAAGACATCAAAGACAACTAAGCAGACAAAAACAAAACAAAATAGAAGTGAACAAAAGGATGCAAAATCAATCTTTACTAAGAAAAAGGATCTAAAGCCATATTTGATTAGATGCCCCAAAAGGCCTAGGTCAATTCTATTTATACCTTGTCCTATTATCTTGGACTTTCTAGAATATTCCTAGATAGTCGATTCACTTTCATAACTTCCTTAAATTCCTTTCCTAAAAGTTTCTATGGTAGGCTCTACCTAAATAATTATCCTAAATTCTTTTAGAATATTCTATGGTAGATCCTATCTAAATAACTTCCCTAAACTCTTCTAGAATGTTTCATGGTAGATCCTACTTAGCCTACTAAAATAATCTCAATTCTAGAAGCTTTCATAGTTCTTACTTTTTATATAATTATCTTTTCTATATCATATTACATTAGGTTTTGAATCGCCACCAAACTTGTTAAAATATGTCATTATCTCATTTTGATTTTTTGATTATATATTGACTAAGAAAGTAGCAAAAAATATTAGGTGATTTATAAAGGAGATCATATCTTCCTTCATAGGCCAAAGAAGTAATATTTGATGAACAATATATTACTCTCTAAAAACCAATTTTTTTTGTCTTTATGCTACTTCTATAATTATATCTATTGATTCAAGTTTTTTTAAATAAATTTGTGTAGTATCAGCTAAGGACTTATTGATTTGTAATACCAAGCAATGCCCTAACAAAAATGAGTTTAAGTTTGTAGAAGAACTTTTATAATTTGAAGATTGTTTATATATTCTAGAAGGATCAACATGATTTTTTTTTTTTTTTTTTTATCAATCTTGTCATGATTTTTCAACTATAAGATATTTTGAATTTTACAAAATATTAAAGCTTATCTCTTGAGATTTTTGGTGACTTCAAATGTGAAAGAAGATGAAGGATTTTGTTCTTTTGTGTGATATCTATTGAAGCTTCAAAAATTCTTGATTTTTTAGGTACATCAAAAGGTGAAAATTGAACAATTAAAGATCTTACAAAATAATTATCACAACTCTAGACAACTTTAAAGCTCCATTTACAAGCAATTCAAGATTCATATAAAGTATCTTCAAACGAATTTAGAAAGAAATTCCTTACTTTTTAAGTTAGAGATAAAATATGGCTTCTTCAACAAAATATTAAGACCAATCAGCCTTGCAATAAGTTGAACTATCAAAGACTAACCATTTTATATTTAAAACTAAATCAATCCAATAGCTTATTGGTTGAAACTACCTACATCCATGAAGGTACATCTTGTCTTTTATATTATTCTCTTAGAGACATATACAAAGTCAATTATTCCAAGAAGAATACTACCATCACCACCTTGTATTGAAATATATAATAATGTGAAATATGAGGTCAAAAAGGTTCTTCATTCTTAGCAAAGAAGAGACAAGTTGGAATATTTTATTCATTGGCATGGCTATAATATCAATAAATATATGTGAGAATCAACAAAAAATCTAATTAGTACATTACAAAAGGTACATGAATTTTATTGATGTTATTCTTAAAAACCTAAATTTGTTTCAAGATGATTTTTCTATGAAGCAATTATTAAGATGTTGTATATAATTAAAAGAATAAGTATTGCTTACAACAATCTTACAATTTAATATATCTAATTTATAATCTAATATGTCAAATTGGATAGTATTTAAAGAATCTTTAGATCCTGAATCTCAAAGTAGAATTAAAGTTGGAGTTTTTATTATTATTGCTACCACATCAATTGTTTTAATTCTTGCAACCTTTGGAAGATCATCCTTAGAATAAAGCTAGATCTTTTCAAGGGAAGAAACACCTACACTATAAATAAATAAATCTTAAAGATGATGCTCGATCTTTAGTCATACTATTGCAAATATAAAATTGATGCTCTTCATGGAACTCAGAGTTAGAAAAGAATTGATATTAGGGACATCAAGAAGAAAATTTTAATAATATTTTTAAAATATTTTAATAAAAGATTCTAAAAAGTTTTTTAGAATATTTTAAAAGATTCTTAAAGGTTCTCAAAATATTCTAATAAATTCTTAAAATTTTTAGGAAGATTAAGAAAGTTGCTTGAGAAGCCTCGTAAGGTTGTTTCAACTTCAAGCAATATGAGAACTTTTTGAGAAATTTCCTAAAATTTCTTTCTCTTCAAGCAATATAGGAAATTCTCATGAAGCTTTCTATTACCTAATATTTATTGGAGTCAAAGTTGAGAGGATCCTCAATCTTGACAAGATATTTTTTGGAACTCTAACTCACCTCTTTTGGTATTGATCTTATAGTCATCTAGTTTAATGATGTTCTTACTAACTTTCTTATTGAAATTCTTTTGTTCAACTTCTTATTTAGCCTTTTGTATAATGTATCCATGGCAAAAAATTTGTACTATGATTATTTTATATATAATATATTATGATCTTTTTTAATATAAATAATAAATTAATGAAAGTATGTCATTAAATTATACAATCAATTTTTATTATTTAATATAAAATTATTTATAATATAAGTTTTAAAATATTAATCAATAGCTTTTAATATTGTATGATTATTTTATGCCATCTAATTATGGCATTCAAATGTATCAATATTTAAAAAAATACAAGATCATTTGTAGAAATAAAAATCAATATTTGTTAACATATCATAATTAGCCTTATCTTATGCCATCCAATAATTATATCACTAAATTAAAATAGAAATAGAAACTATTACTCTTCAACATAAATATATTCTATATTATGTAGCCATAGTATATACTAAAAATATATAAAAATCTAATATAATTATAAATAGAAAAATATAATTAAAGCATAATTAAAAAATATAATTATGATGATAATAATATAATTAGATTTATGTTTAATATTTGATTACCAAAACAATAAGAAAATTTTATATTAAGATAAAGATCTAAACGAGCCTTAATTTATATGAAAGTGAGATTCTTTCGAAATAAAAGAGCCTTTTAGAAGTTTATTTTATTTGATTCAATACATATTAATATATTGATTTATACTTTTAAACATATGATCATAAAAACAAAGTAGGAAACAATATTGGAATAGTATTTGAATATGTGGCAACTTTATATAATATCAATGGCCTATGTTGGATTTTAGAGCTTTTTTTTTAAGCCAAGATGTCTATGTTAGATTTATCTAATCCAACATACTTATATGTCAATTTGGATTCTAAAATATGAATATAAAAACATCAAACCTAATATTCAATGATAGATTATTTTAAGATTGAATATAGAAATTCACTCTTAAAATAATGAGAGAGTCTACAAAAAAATAGCCCAAAGACTTCAAAAAACATGCAATGTGATTTGATTCAAGAAATTAATACATGAAGAAAAGAAAAAAAATCAAAGTCAATGTGGTTGGTTGAGTTCAATTTTGATACATTCTTATTAGAAAGATATAGCTTTATTAAGAATAAAACTTTTATAACTTATGTTATTCTTTTCAAATATATGTATATTTATAATAGAAAAGTTTTGTCACTTGCCTCCATAGTTAAGGATACAAGGCAATAGTCAAAACCTCAATCCAACTATACATAGACAATATTTTGGAGAATATTTATCCACAACTTAAATATGAAAGCAATTCTACAAAATCCATTAATTACAATACTAATGTGCTAAAAATTTTGGATGATGAAAAACCAAAGTAGAAAATATGTAAATTGAATAAACTCATTGCTACAAGCTAGAAATGTCATGACATGTTATATGGACCCATGATCACATGAAGTCTAGCTAATGGAAACTTGACCTCATTTTCGAACTATTGATGCTAGAGTAATGGAAGTTGAATGTGTAAAGACATAGAAAGTAAGTGGGCCCACCCAACACATCAGAATTGGTATCTGCTTTTTGGCCTCCGGAATTAGATTAAAGCAGGTCATCTGATCCTTTTCTGAGGTGGCTTGTCAACTTCATATCCTCCATGTTGGGACACATTTGTTTTGTTGGCAGGAAAAAGATTGATCGATTGCAGAGTCAGGGAAGTGCTCTAGTTAAGGATGCCCACCTGGGTGTCGACTCTGTCTGGAGTGATGTCCCGAAGGCTGAAAATGGTGCCTGCCAGCACAAGCGAAGGCAAAGACGCGGAAGCTTTAAAGATGCTTCGCATTCGTGACACAATGAGTTACAGTTCTCCTCTGATCAGCTGATTCGGAAGCCATAATAGTGTTCTGCTCATGCAAGTGCACAGGTCTGCTGTTTGCAAACTCCATATTGATTGCTTCTGAAAAGGGAATCAATATCAGTGGCCAGTATTTCCAATTTTAGAAGAAGTGGGTGGGAATAGGATAAACCCCCCTGTGGGACTTTTCACCAAAGACAATGCCGCTGAAGCATAACACGATAAAAAAAATCAAGTGGCCTAAAAGGTACAGATTGAGTATCAAGTGCACAAAAGTTATCCAATCGCGCAAGGGTATTGAAATATGATCGGTAAAAACAGATGAGAGTAGCCAGAATGATGGAAGGAATTACACGTACTTTGGCTGGGACGGCTTTCAAAAGCAGTTCAAAGGATTCATTCGAGTAGCAAAACCCTCAGAGATGAAAATGATCTTTATCTCAAACACGAAAAAAATTCTTGACAGTGAATTCTTTTTAACAACAAACAGGCAAACAACCACATGCACTCCAACACCTCCATAAAACTGTATGCCAATTGCAAATGCATGTGTATAATACCCAAACGAACGAATGTTAACGCATTACAAAATCCAACACTGCAATCCACGGTCCCACACATATCCCTGATAATCTAGTCTAGGCCACAAAGATAAAATTGTCTTTGCAAGTTATGATCTACACGGTAGTTCCTGAATCTAATGTACAGTGCATATATATATATATATACTCACGATTTCTAGTCAGGTTATGATCACGATGTCGTTAGGCAATTGAGAATAATACCCAAAGCTCCACTGCTCACATGAGCTACGGAATCGATCAGTCCAGCTGTTATTCGAACGAAATTCTCTTGAAGCAATCCCAAACCTGCTGAAGATAAATATTGTTCTATATTCGGTTGCGAAATGCTCCGATGTCATCAGGTGCTTAAATGGTCAAGTTGTCCGGTCAGAATTCCCGACCTCAAAGAGCAGCCTTAAATAGTTGTTAAACACTTGAGCCTGTTTTTGAACTCAATGAAACGGAAAGGATACTGATGGCACTAAGTTTTGGTGTCGGCCACTAAGAGATGGTTCCGTCTGCTACAACTGATCATCTAGTGAATTGAAGACTAATATTATAATTCGAATGAATACATGAAGGTCTCCTCAATCCCACTCCAAATGACTACAGCTTCGTCAACAAATACAAACACTAAAGCTCATCAAAGGGCTTCTGAAACCGTTCGGACAAAGCCATAATCACTAACGCCTTCCAGCATATCATCTTCACCATGCACAGAAAGGAGAATACGTACTCATCTCTATCGACTTCGTCAGAATAATGCATTCACACGTAATAGCAAAAAAACATGGTATGGATTCAGGAAACCCAGATACTCATTATTGCTTCCTCGTAACACCTCCGGCGAGTGATGTCAATAGTCCATCCTCCTGCGCGCAATCCTTTCTCTTCCCTCATCCGCTTCGTCTGCTCATCTTCCGGCTCCCCATTCGCATTGTAAGACGGAGGTCCCAAAGGCACAGGTTGCTGCCCTGCTGGCCTGGGTGGCAGAAACATCGTGGGAGCGTATTTCCCAGGCGCCGCGGTAACTGCAGGAAGATTACTTTGCTGCACCTGAGGATCAATACCCAAAGTCGTCGGTGCAGCATCACCAGCCGCATGATACTGCCCACTCCTCAAAAAAGCAGCCTCCTCCTCGGCTCGTCGCGCCCGGGACGCTATGATTGCCTCATAATTCTCGTTCTGGTACTTCATGAGCTTCTCCTCCGTGGAGGCAACATCTACTCCTTCGATCAAATTGAAAATTATGTCCTCAACGTCTTCGAGATAGTCATTGTACGAGCGCAAGTCCGGAAAATCATCCTGCCTCTTGTTGTAGATGTTTTGCACCCTGCGACGAATTTGCAATTCTTTCTGCATCTCCTTATTCATCGTGACAGAGACAATGAGAGAAACTCCCACAAAAAACAAAACCTCGAGAGCCAACTCTGCTTCAGCAGCCCCACGAGCGCTCTTAACTTCCAACTGATAGCTCCCCTCTCAACGTATGCGAAATCCTAAGCCGCAGAGTCTTCGAATGTAAAAACCTTACGCCGCTGCCAGTTAAGCTCGCCATTACCTCCAACCATGCATCGACTCATACTCCAACTCACCGACACCTTGAAACGAACCAAAATACGGGACAAGTCTTCCACCCACGTTCAACTTCAAAAACCCAAAGCCTATCAAAGAAATCAAAGCCAACCTGCCGATCTGCAATGTTGTTACAAACAAAAGAGCACCTCCATAGCATCGCATCATCCACTACGAAGATTGCACAGGACGGACGAGAATGAGAGATGATGCAAAGATTTTCGAAGGAGGGCTCAGTCCGGGCTCAACCCTAACTGGACGAAATCTCCTCTTTCGTTCACTCTAATTCGTTCGTTGGTTCAGTCGGTCATTCATCGCTCTAATTCGTTCATCCGTCTTTCACTCATTCGTTTGTTCGAATGTCCTAGTGTGATCTAGAAAAGTGACCATTTTGTGGAGAGTTTATAGTTCATGGATTCTACGAATTCAATGAATTTGTATAATGTTTATTTGGAGGTGATTTTGAAATCTGTTAAGTTTGAGCGTGAATATAATTTTGATAAAAAATATTGTTTGTTAACATATTTAATTTTAGGCTGAAATTGGGGGTTTCATTAATATACAATATTTTAGAACAGTTCGTGTGTTAGTACAAAATACCACAATTTTATTTATTAAGAGTGTTCAACTGTAATAATAATAATAATAAGTGCACTTTTACTGGTTTGTACAGACTATTATAATTTTTGCTATAAGGATTATTACTTCTTCTTCTTCTTCTTCTTCTTCTTTTTTTTAATTTTTTTTCAATCTTCATGCCACATTGTTTCAAAACTCACTAATTCTTCAAATCAGATTTTTAATAAACTGTCATTTTTGAAAAATCTGGAAAACCAAACATCGACTTGAATAGCCACTTAAACATGAATGCGACAGAGCTCCCCTCCTATTTTTGTAATATGTGGTTTAATTTTAGCTTGAAATTATTTAAATCATATTTAAGGAAACAACCATATGACATAGGTTCTTCTGTACTAAGTCTACTATTGAAGTTTATGTTTTGAAACAATAATGGTTGTCATATATTATCTCTAGTGCCAAGTGCATGATATTTTCAAGGCACTTTATTTTTATATTTTCTTATAATGATTGTAGTTTAGCTTAAATATGTTTAGCTGAAATAACTTGAATATGTAAATGGGTGAGACCATCATTGTTTAGATGCGTAAGATAAATAATGAATAAATTAAAAATATGTATATATTTTTAATTCATTTATCACTCTCTTTTGTGAGACCACCAAAAAAAAAAATTTGTTGTAAATAATGTAGCATATTTCTTTTACATTAATTTATTTTGAATCCACAATGATTCAATTTTATCCATCAAAAATTAAAAAAAAAAAAAAAAAAAAAAAAAAAACACACACCAGATTACTTGAGATCATGATATTGTATTCATTAGATTAAAAATACTAAGATTTAAAAGTAAATTTGTGTACATTATCTGTAGTTCAAAAGAATATATATACATATATATATATATATATGTATATGTAAACATGGCTGTAATATTTTACATACATGTAATGCATTAGAAGTACACAGATATAAATCTTGAATAAGACAAGTTTTAGAACAAATTTTGTGAGATATATTCAAAAATGTACTATATATACATACATATATACACACGTACATATACACATACGTACATATATACATACAGACTGTTAGTAATTTAGTAAAATTATTCAAAACATGTATTTGTTTGGAATTATAACTATTTATTAACATATGGATCAATTGATTATCAAAATGCATGCTATTAATAGGAACAACATTTTTGTTCTTGCTCACATTTACCAAAGTGGTTTTTTTCTACTACAAAATTCATAATCCCTTATTGGAATAGATTTATTATTTTCTTATATATGAATTCAGTTGTATGAAAAATAAATTATAACTGATCAATGTTTCTAGCATTTAAATTTTGAATTATTGACACAAATTACTGTGAAATTGTCATGATATAATATGGATTTTTTTATTAGTCAAAATATACACTTCTATGCAAGTTTGATTATATTTTGAGTATACAAGTAGATAAATATGATATTGATATTATGTTAGATAATATACAACTTGGTACACAATCAAAGATTAAATAAAATGTTTAAAAATCAAATAAAAAAATGATAAAGACTAGTAATACTTTTAAGAAAAATTGATTAATATTTTGTTTGTCAATATAACATGTAGATATAAAATCTAGATAAAATTTAAAAGCTAATTTTATTAAATCATAAGTTCTAAATCTTTTTTCGAAAAATATAAGAACATTTTAAACAGCAAGACATATATTATATCATTATTTAATCTTGGTGTAAAAAAACATTGAGTAAGAATTAGTTTAAGATAAGTGGCAAATCATGGAACTAAAGAAAAGATAACAACTACTCATCACCTTCACTACCTGAAGAAGAATCTCACCTTGGCCAAAGAAAGGTATTTGATTCAATTATATATATATATATATATATATATATATTCTGAAAATCTAAAAACCAATGGTTTAAAACATTGAATAAGAAGTAAGCAATGAATGTAAATTGACAAGAAATTTGGAGCCAAAAGTTGACATTGAAGTACTTAATTAAATAACAACCAACACAAAGCATGGCCAAAATTATTTGGAATGTTTGGAACTTAATAGAATATATAATAATCAATTATAAAATATTAGCAAATATATCATTAAAAATATATATATATATATATATATCATTAAAAAAATATATATATCATTTAGTCTTTTTAGAATTAGATTTGAAGATTAATTTTCAACTTTTAAGCATTTCAAATATTCATGGAAGAATAAAATAATAATAATAAAAATAATAATAGGAATTTTAATCAAGTTATATAAAACAAGTTCAAATAAAAAATAAACAGTGGGAATTTTATATACAATGCTATGGATCTAAAAAAAAATTGATAAGTATTTGTCTCAATTGGTCTTATTGTTGTGAAGAAACCAACATATCATATTAATGATTTTTTTGTTTGTAGATTTTGTAAGACTATTTGTTTTAGAGATAATAGGTGGTGGATGTTTTATGCTTGATTATGAATATGTCTACAAGTTGTTTGATTACCTCATTTGTAAAATAGATGCTATGATTGAAGACTATTTTAAGTAGGCATCCAAAGTACTTAATTATATTTTTATGGAAGAATTTGGTAGTCATTGATATTGTATTTGTTTTTAATGCACAAGCTTTGCACCATTTGATTACATAGTCTATTATTATAATTATATATTTATTATGATGCTAAGTGAGTGGTTTCATAGGACTGATGAAGTCTAGGTTCTAATGCATAAATGAAGCAAGTAGGAATATGAACCATAGAAGGATTTACTCTATGAGTACAAACTTGGATTTAGAAATTTGATAGGTATGGCAAAAAAATGTATTTGTGAATATTTTTATGGAAGATGAGCCACCAATATAAGGTAGCAAAGTATTTTATAATAGTTATGTTGATCGCCTAATGTCTACCTAAGGAATCATTGTATATAATTTAACTTGTATTATTGGATTGTGGAGGTACAAAGAAAAGTGATACAATATTATATTATGTGAAGTCTTACTTGAGAATGCACCAAGCACTCAACTGTGGAAGGTAAAAAAAAATTGCAACAAAAAAACTTAATAATTCTAATATGATTATATATTAATTTCTATTAAGGATTAAAAAATATAATCAAATATTGATCAAGTCCAATTAAATTTTCAAATAAATCCTATTTGAATCCTAATCAAATCCTAAACAAATCCTAAATAAATTTTAAAAAAATTCTATTCAAATTTTAAAAAAATCTTAAGTAAATCATAATCAAATCCTAGACAAATCCTAATCAAATCATAATCAAATCTTAAATTCTAACCAAATCCTAAATAAATCCTAGATCCTAAATCAATTATAATCAATCTTTAATCAAATCCTAAATCTTAAATAAAATTCTTAACGATCCTAAAGTAGATTAAAAAATTTAATAATTAATGATTAAATTATTGAATTTGACTCAAACTTTATATACCTTGAGACAACTAAGTTAACAACAAGCACATAAATTTTGAAGAAGATTGTATATACCAAGTAGAAGATAAATCAGTTTTTGTTTTTTTAAGGTAATTTTTTCTAAAATATTTCCTAACCTCCTTGTATATATTCTACTATTCTTTATTTTTCTAATATATTTTATTTTTTTTATTTATGGCCCTACAAAGTAAATAGAATCCTATTTTATAAAAAGGAAATATTTATACTTTTAATTTTATTACTATTTGACTATTATTTATATTTTAAAGATAAATGTTTTACAATATTTTATAATAAGATCTTCTAAAATATAATATTTTCTTCATCCTTTCACCTATTAGTCATGTTATATCATTAATAAAAATCTATTTTAAGTTTATGAAGCTTACTATTGATGTAGGTATATGCTAGTGCTTTGCATATAAAATTGAACAACCTTATAAATCTCTTCTAGAGCTTTTTAGAATCTTCTAAGACCTTCTTAAATCGTCTAAAATCTTTTAGAGCTTTTAAAAATCTTCTAGAATATTTAAAAATCTTTTCTAAATAGATGTGCTTAACATCACCTCATCCTTTAGTTGTAAGTTTTTTTGGGAGGAATTAAGCTCTTATTTCTTAAAGACAAATAAAATCAAAGATATGCCTCATGGTTTGTGGAACATATTTTAGTTGCCTTTCACTAGTCAAAAGTTTCATAAGTGCTTGCAACCAATGATAATAATCAATACCTTCTATTGTCAAGGACATGAATTTCAAAGAAAGAAAATCTCAATATACTCTTCTGTCACTCAAAATGATTAGAATTTTTTTTGAAGTTGATATAATATTAAACTAGAATGACTATTGTCAAAGACAAAAAGACTAAAAAGACTTGATATAAGACTAAGAACTAGAGAAGCATTCACAAGAGTGAAGAATACTTTACTCTTGCTTCCATATATATTCTTAACTAGAAACTATGTGGCAATGTCCTATAGGACCTCTAAAGTATGTTGATTTTGTAAAAGATGTATTTTAACTTGCAAGGCAAGTTTTTTATATGTGCACCACATAGTCAACTTGTTCCATAAGTTATTGATATGTGATTAATTTATTGACTAAGTTTTTAAAGTAATAATTAACTAAAAATACATATAAAATCAGAGTAGTATCTATATAGCTTTTAGAAAGCTTTTC